CTTCCAAGTAGCTGGAACTACAGGCACATGCTACCACACCTGGCTAATTTTTTTTTTTTATTGTAGAGACAAGGTCTTGCCAAATTGCCCAGGCTGGTCTCCAACCCCTGGACTCAGGCAATCCTCTCGCCTTGGCCTCCCAAAGTGCTGGAATTACAGGCTTGACCAATCACACCCAGTCAGAAAGATTTTAAATAAACAATCTAATCATGTGCCTCAAGGAACCAGAAAAACAAGAACAAACCAAACCAAAAATAATAAACAAAATAGAAACTAAACAAGCAAAATCAAAACAAAGTATCAACAAAGCAAAAAGCTAGTTTTTTGAAAAGACAAACAAAAGTCAAGAAACTGGTAGCTGGACTAACCAAGTAAAAAACAGAGACAGCGCAAATAAATAAAATCAGAAATTAAAAAATGAGACATTTTAATTGATGCCACATAAATACAGAAGATCCTCAGAAAGTACTGTGAACAAGATACGCTAGCAAACTGAAAAAAGTAGGGGAAATGAATAAGTTCCTAGACACATACAAACTACCAAAATTAAATCAGCAAGAAACAGAAAACCTGGAAAGACCAATAACAAGTCAAAAGACTGAATCAGTAATAGACTCCCAACAAAGAAAAATCTAGAATCAATAGGCTTCACTGAAAAATTCTGCCAAACTTTTAAAGAAGAACTGAGATAAATTCTTAAACTATTAAAAAAAAAGAAGAGGAGAGAGTTATTTCTAACTCATTCTACCAAACCAGCATTACACTGATATCAAACCCAAAAACACACACACATACACACACACGCATGCGCAGTCTCCCAGAGCGGCCACCGCAGCCTCGACCTGCTGGGCTCCAGCGATCTTTCCGCCTCAGTCTTCCACGTAGCTGGAACTACAGGCGCGCGCTACCACGCCCAGCTAATTTTTGATTTATTGTAGAGATGAGGTCTCGCTGCCCAGGCGGGTCTCAAACCCGTGGCAATCCACTCACCTCACCTCAGTCTCCCAAAGGCGCAGGATTACAGGCTGAGCCACCGAGCCCGGCTAAAACCACAATAAATATGCAATACCTACATAAATATGCAGTAACAGTTTAAAACAGTTTGAGATAAAAGTTACATAGCATAAAATTCACTGTTTTATCCATTTTAAAGTGTACAGTTCAGTGGTTTTTAGTATATTAACAGTATTGTTAACCATCACCATTATCTAATTCTGGAACACTTTCATCACCCCAAAAAGAAACCTTGTACCTATTAAGCAGCTCAACAATCACCTGTTTTTGTGCATTAATCTATTCTGAAAAGTTTATATAAATCGAATCATACTATGTGCAAAAAAAAAAAAAAAAAGCCTTACAAAACTACAGGCCAATATTCCTAATAAACATAGATGAGAAAATTCTGAATCCAACAACACATCAAAAAGATAATATGCCATGATGAGGTGGGATTTATCCCAGGGATGCAAGGATGGTTCAACATATGCAAATCAATATATGTGATAAAGCACATCAACAGAATGAGGGACAAAATCCATATGAACTTCTCAATAGATGCAGAAAAAGTATTTGATAAAGTTCAGCATTACTTCATGATAAAAACTCTCAACAAACTAGACATGGAAGGGACATACCTTAACATAATAAAAGTCATATATGACAAACTCACAGATAACATAGTACTGAAAAGAGAAGAACTGAAATCCTTTCCTTGAAAATCTGGAACAAGACAAGAATGCCCACTTTCACCACTCCTATTCAACACAGTACTGAAAGTACTAGACAGAGCAATCAAGCAAGAAAAAAAATAAAAAGTATTTAAACTGAAAAAGAAGAAGTCTTGCAGCTCTATTCACAATAGCAAACACATGGAACCAACCATGCTGCCCATCAAAGCTGAACTGAATAAAAAAAAAATGTGGTACATATACACAATGGAATATTACACAGCCATAAAGAAGGACAAACGTATGTACTTCACAGCAACTTAGATAGATTTAGAGTCAATCATACTCAGTGATCTATCACAGAAACAAAGAACAGAGTACCATATGTTCTCATTCATAAGTGGGCCTTCAACAATTATAATACTCTAAGAAAGGGATTGGCCGTAGTGGGAAACTGTCAGGGGAGGGGGGTGGGATTGGCAGTTGAGAGAAACTGCTAGGGAAGGGAGGGGCATACCTTATCAACAAGGGTACCTGCATAATCAACGTTTGTATACCTAACCCTGAATTGTACCCCACATCTTTACAAATACACACACACACACACACACACACACACACACACACACACACACAGAGAGAAACAGGAAGTCAAATTATCCTTCTTTGCAGATTCTATTTCTAGAAACACCTGAAGACTCCACCAAAAAAACACTTAGATCTGATAAATTCAGTAAAGTTGCAGGATATAAAACCAACATAACAAAAATCAGCAGTGGCTGGGCTTGGTGGCTCAGCCTGTAATCCCAGCAAGTGGATTGCCTGAGCCCACAGGTTCAAGACCAGCTGGGCAACTTGGTGAGCCCTTGTCTCTACAATAAATAAAAAATTAGCTGGGTACGGTAGCACTCAACTGTGGTTCTGGCTACTTGGAAGGCTGAAGCAGGATTGCTGGAGCCCAGCAGGTCAACGTGGGGGTGGCTGTGAGCATGCCACCGCACTCCAGCCTGGGCGACGAAGTGAGACTCCAACTCAAAAATCAAAAACAAAAAAACCCAGTGTGTTTTTTCTTTTTTCTTTTTTTTCTGACAGAGTTTATTATTATTATTATTATTGTAATAAAAATGTGGAGTACAATTCAGGGTTTGGCATCCTGTTGATGATGTGTGCCCCTCTCTCCCCTGGCAGTTTCCCTCAACTGCCAATCTCACCCCCCTCCCCTGACAGTTTCCCACTACTGCCAATCCCTTTCTTAGAGTATTACAATTGTTCAAGGTCCGCTTATGAGTGAGAACATACGGTCCTCTGTTCTTTGTTTCTGTGAGAGATCACTGAGTATGATCGACTCTAAATCCATCCAAGTTGCTGCAAAGTCCAAATGTTTGTCCTTCCTTATGGCTGCAAACACAGCAGTGTTTCTAGATGCCAATAATGAATGATCTGGGAAAGAAATCAAGAAGGCAATCCCATTTAAAATAACTACAAAAAAATACCCCGGAGTAAATGAAATCAAGGGGCTAAAAGACCTCCACAAGGAAAATTACACAACCGTGGGGGACAAAACTGAAGAAGACATAAACAAGTGGAAAGATATCCCACGCTTATGGGTTGGAAGAGTCATGTTGTCAGAATGACCACACTGCCCAAGAAGTCTACAGATTCAACACAAGCCCTCTCACAATACCAGCTTTGTTTTTCACAGAGATGGAAAAAACAATCCCAAAATTCATACAGAATCAAAAGGAGCCCAAATAGCCAAAGCAATCCTGAGCAAAAAGAACAAAGCTGGGAGCCTAACATTACCTGATTTCAAAACACATTACAAGGCTATCATACACAAAACATCATTTTAGTATAAAAGCAGATGCATAGACCAATGGAACAGAATAGAGAACCCAAGAATAAATCCTCCCACTTACAGCCAACTGATGTTCAACAAAGGCACCAAGAACATACATTAGGGAAAGAATACCCTCTTCAATAAACAGTGCTGGGAAAACGGGATGTCCACACACAGAAGAACGTAACCGGACCTCTGTTTCTCACCATACATAAAAATCAACTCAAGATGGATTAAAGATGTAAACATTAAGGCTCCAAACTATAAAATTACTAGAAAAAAACATTAGGGAAACACTTCAGGACATTGGTATAAGCCAAGATTTTATGGCTAAGACCTCAAAACCACAGGCAACAATAACAAAAACAGACAAATGGGACTATGTTAAACTAAAAAGCATCTGCACAGCAAAGGAAACACTCAACGGAATGCAGCGACAACCTGTTGAATGGGAGAAAATATTTGCAAACTATTCATCCACTAAAGGATTCATATCCAGAATATACAAAAAACTAAAGCAACTCAACAGCAAAAACAAAACAAAATAATCCCAATTTAAAGTGGACAAAGGACACGAATAGACACTTCTCAAAAGAAGACATGCAAATGTCCAACAAGTATATTTTTTTAAATGCTCAACATCACTAACCATCAGGGAAATGCAAATCAGAACCACAATGAGATATCACTTTGTCCCATTAAATTGCTTGTGTTGCTTTTGTCTAAAATTGTTAGAGCACAAATGTACATGGGATGTCTTGCTATCCAATTAAAAAAGAGGGGAAGTTTCGACGGAAAGCCTGTGTCTAGAGTGTGGTTCAGGGGACCCTTTGCACTGATTACCTTGGCGATGGGGAGGGGGCTGGTTCACCCAAGCAGGTTGGGATAACCCAGGGATGCCGGTCCTGGCAAGCCAGCTGATACCCCAGGGCCAGGCTCAGCCAGCTCCAGGCAGACGCTACTCAAGGATGGGCTGTACGGGAAGGGTGCACACCCCCTCTCAGGAGCCAGGTTCCTGTCCCCCAGCATTTCTCTGAACCCACTGGGCAGAGGGGTGAATGACCCCCCTCTGGGCACACTGTCTATACCAACTTCCTCTTTATGGATCATATGTCAACATAATGTAGACTTTTGGTGCATTGAGGCAGAGGGAGAAACTGACTCCAGGTTGCACCCCTTCCAGAACCCAGCTTCACCTCCACGTCTTCCTCCGCTGACCCACGGTTCTGGGTCACACTCACTCTCACGGTTTTCTCCTGATGTGTTTCCCAGGACTCCCTGCCTGGGATTCAGGCTCCCCAGGATGCCTGAAAATAGTCCTGCCCCTGACTGTGGCCCCTCCTCTCTTTTCCTGCTTGGTACCTGCAGTTTATATTCCTGCACATTCACTCCCTGTACGGCACATGCCCGGCCCTCATGCTGGCTCACGGCTGTCCCCAGCTGGGACATGGGACAGTCACTGCAGTGTGTGGGGGCAGGGTCCCGGCCCAGCCCAGTGGCCCCTCCTTAGCAGGATGGGCACAGGGGACTCACCGTTGGGACAGAAGAACGTGCTGTAGGTATATGCCCGGGGGACTCCTTCAGGCTGAAACAGAGAAACAGGGGAACTGGGTGCTGGGCCGGTGGGGGGGCTGTGGGCTAAGGGGCATGGCTGCCCCCCCCCACAGCAGCAGCTCCAAGTCCAGACCATGTCACTGTGCGCCCAGGGCTTGCACAGCACCCAAGGGTGCACAGAGCATATCTGGGCCACTCACTGTCCAGGCCCAGCTGAGAAACTGAGGCCACATCCCCATGCTGGCCAAATGAAACTCACCAACTGCCTCAAGACTTGTCATGTGTCCCGCCCTGTACCCTGCCCTCCTGGCCGCCCTTGTCCCTCTGTGCAGGGAACTCGATTCCCATGGGGAATGCTCTCTTAGAAGCCCCACCAGAGTGGTCAGCTCAAGCTGGCCCGTCCTTGGATCAGACCTTCAAGGGATCACATGGCGTGGCTGCAGCCTGGTGGCCTGGGGTCCCCTTCTCCCTGGGAGGGTCATTCTCAGGTGTCAACTTGACTGGGCTATGGGGTGCCCAGGTGGCTGGTTAAATACTGTGAGGTTTTTCCTGTAGAGATGAGCACCTGCATCATGAACTACAGTGTATAAGTGGGTGTATTAGGCTTCTCCAGAGAAACAGATCAGTGTTTCCTTCCTTTTTATTTACTTATTTATTTATTTGCAGAGACAGGGTCTCACTCTGTCACTTAAGCTCATAGCTCACTGCAGCCTTGACCTCCTGGACTCAAGCAATCCTCCCACCTCAGTCTCCCACTAGCTGGGACTACGGGCACCACCATGCTCAGCTAATTTTTTTTTTTTTTTTTTTAGCAGAGATGGGGTCTCACTGTTTCAAGGCTGTTCTCGACTTGCTGGGCTCAAACAATCCTCCTGCCTCAACTTCCCGAGTAGCTGAGATAACAGGCGTGAGCTACCACACTCAGCTCTCTGTTCTTTTGGCTGAACCATGTTCCACTGCATTGGACAGCTGCACTCCACTAAACCACATCCACTCACCCAGTCGTCACCTGAGAGACATTCCCTGAAACAGAAAGCGTGTTTCTGGCCTGTGTCCGGAGTCCCCAACTGACGGTTACAATCACCCAATTGGCACAGTGCAAGGGTCTTCAGCATGCAGGCTGGGCTCTGTGAGAGACTTTCCAAGCACACCCACATCTAAGCATCCAGCGGCTCCGTGTGAATCCAGGCTCTCACTGCAGAGCACCCCCTGGCCAGCCAGGCCTCCCATGCTCTGGGGACACCCGCCGGGCTCGCTCAGTGGATCTGGATTATGCCTCCATCTTGTTTCTTCAAATGTCATGAGATACGCAGCAGTGATCCAAGGCTCAGTCTTGCAGTGGGCATGGAGAGGACACAGTGCCCTGTGGGCCAGCAGCGGAGCCAGGCGGGGCATCTGTCCTCTCTCTGCCTGGACAATCACACACCCCTGCACAGCACCTGTGACAGGGGACAGCCATCACCTGCTTCCTTACCGGCCTGTGCACCTCCTGGGAAAGGCTCTTTTGTCACGTTCGGCCCAGGGGGTAGCACTCGATGTTCGGTGAATGGTCACCGCACAACTGGACCATGTGTCCTTGGGGCTCTCTTGTGGGAAGAGGTGAGAGATGTGTTCTGCGGTGCCATCGAGCCACACATACTGACATCTCTTATGCCACAAACTGCTTTTCTTTTTTTTTCTTTTTGAGTTGGTGTCTCTGTTGCCCAGACTGGAGTGCAGTGGCCGCTCCCGGCCACCGCAGCCTCAACCTGCTGGGCTCCGGCGATCCTTCTGCCTTAGCCTTCCAACTAGCTGGAACTACAGGTGCCCGCTACTTCGCCCGGCTAATTTTTCTCACCAAGTTGCCCAGGCGGGTCTCGAACCCGTGGGCTCAGGCAATTCACTCACCTCGGCCTCCCAAAGCGCGGGATTTCAGGCTGAGCCACCGAGCCCAGCTACAATCTGCTTTTCTAATGGAAGCTCCTTTTTTTTTTTTTTTAAAGCAGGGTCTCAGACTCTAGTCTGATCCACTCTAGTCTGATCTAGTATGATCACAGCACATAGCAGCCTCCACTTCCTGAGTTGAGGAGCTCCTTCTGCCTCAGCCCAAGTCCCAAGTAGCTGGGACTACAGGCGCCACCTCACCGGGCTCACTTTTTGACTTTTTGTAGAGACAGGATCTCGTGATGCAGCCCAGGTCGGTCTCAAACTCCTGAACTCGAGCAATCCTCCTGCCTCGGCCCCCAAAGTGCTGGGATGACAGGCATGCGTCCCCGCGCCCGGCCTTTTTCCTCCTTTTTCTTTTCGATCAATATTTTAAGTGTTCTGAGGCCCAGGTATTTCCTTCTGTCCCCCGGTGCTGCCTGCAGGACACTGGACGAGCAGACGTTTCAGACTCAGGAGACTGCTCAGTAGTGTAGAGGGGAAAGGCCTGGGGAGTGAGGCCCCGGGGATCCCTTTCTGTGTGTTTGGAAGTCTCCTCCGGGAGGGAGGTGGCCACCCAGGTCACCGGGGGGTTAGCTGCCTTCGAGGGCTGACTGAAGGGTGGCCAGGGGTCTTTGCATTCCCCTGGGGCCCATCCCACTCTGCTGGCTGGCAGAGACCTCCCGCCTCACCCGACACACTCTTGTCCCGAGGAATCCACGAGTCACGTCAGCCACCAGGTGGCGGCGGCCTATTCCCCCAGGGGCTCTGCACTGGGCATGTGTGACTCCAGCACTGACAGGGCCTCTGTGCTCAGGACCAGCAGGGTCACAGCGGAAAGAGAGTAGCTAGTTGTCCTGGGCCTCTGGGGTGCGTGAGACGCTTGGGGGTGGCCGTCAGGAGCTTCCTGGGGGTCCCCACGTGCTGGGCGTGCAGTGCCAAATGGAGCCTCCAGGGGGCTCTGATGTGTCTGGGCTGAACAGACAAGGCAGGGCTCCTTGTGACGCCATGCTCAGCATTGCAGATGTGTGCACATCCTCCGGGCCTCCCTGCCCACAGGGCAGGAGGGAGTGCCCACCTCATAGAGAAGGGGGAAGCCGGGATGCTTGCAAGCCCCCGGGAAAGTGGTGGATCCCGGTGCTCGGCACACCCTGCTGCAGGCTCTGTGTCCTTCCCACTAGGGCGTTCTGAGAACCATGCCCCAAACAACTCCAGTCCCCACAACAAGCAGAGGCCCGGAGACGAGGGGTCAGGGGACACTTCCTGCAGCCCCTCGGGTCCTAGGCTGCTTCTCCAAAGCCAGCTCAGCACTTCGGGAGGGGCCAGACCACCACGATTCCCTGAGAAGCAGCTCCCCAATCTCCAGCCGTCCCAACCTCAAGTGGGACCGTGTGTGCTGCCCAGATCACACACTCCAGCTGGCCCAGCCTCAAGGCTGAAGGAATCTGGCCCTGGCACAAAGAGAGAGAATGCAGCCCTACCTCAACCATCACACTGCGCCTGACGTGATCTGTCCCCATGGGGACCCTCCGGTCACCATGCTGCTCCTCTGTGTGTCTGCTGGACCTCCCGTCCCGGCAGCAGCTGGTATCTCCGTAAGCGAGGGCTTTGGCTGCAGGGGTTTAGTGGCGTGGTCTCAGAACAAGTACCCACCAGAATGGGGACAGTCGCATCCCTACCTTTGTCTCAGGCATGCATGTGTGCATGTAGGTATGCACACATACACACATATGTGCATGCATGTATATGCATGTGTGCACATTTGCACATTTGTGTGTGTGCCTATGTGAGCAAGTGTTTATGTGTTTGTGTATATGGGTCTGTGTGTGCATGTGCACATATGAGTGCATGTGTTTGTGTGTACAAATCTGTGTGCATATGTCCTTGTGTTTGTGTGTATGGGTCTCTGCATATGCATGTGTGCATGTGTATGTATGTGTGCATGTGTCTGTGTGCATGTGTGTGCATATGCATGCGTGTAGGGGTCTGTGTGTATGTATGTGTGTGCATGTGCATGTGTTTGTGTGCATGGGTCTGTGTGTCCACATGCATGTGTACTGTGTGCATGCATACATGTGTTTAGATGTATGGGTATGTGTATTTGTAGGTATGGGTCTGTATGTGCACATGCATGTGTATGCATCTATGTGTGCATATGCATGTTAATGTGTATGTGTGCTTGTATGCATGGGTCTGATTGTACATGTGCATGTACACATGTGTGTGCATATATTTGTGTATGTCTCTGTGTGCATGTGTTTGTATGTATGGATCTGTGTGCATGTGTGTATGTTTGTGTGTACATGTGTACATGTGCGTGTGTCTCTGTATATGTGTGCACATGCATGTGAGTATGTGTGTGCATGTATGCATATGTTTATGTGTATACATCTTTCTGTGCATTTGCATGTGTGCATGTCTTTCTATGTATAGGTATGTGTTTCTGGGTATGGGTCTGCACATGCATATGCATGTGTCTGTGTGTGTATGTGTGCATATGCATGTTTGTGGGTGCATATGTTTGTGTGTACGGGTCTGTACATGTGCACATGCAAATGTATGTGTACCCATGTATGTATGGTCTGTGTGTGCATATGTACATATGTGTGTGTGCATCTGTGTGCACTGTGTGTGCGCACGGGTCTGTGTGTGCACACACATGCATGCATGTGTGTGTGCTACAACAGCTTGGTACCTTAAGTGCCCAGCTTCCCCCACAGGTGAAACCCCAGGGCCCGCTTCCTCCCCCCTCCTGGGCCTGCTCCCTCTGTTCTGCCTGCTCCAGCCACTATCATGTCACTCAGGAAGGTCCTGACCCCACCTGCTGTCCCATCCACCCTCACCCTAACGGGGCCAGCGTCTGGACCCCCTGTGGCCTGCAGAGGGAGCACCCGAGCAGCACAGAACTCACCGGTGATGTTGCTGAGCCCCAGGTCACTGAAGGACAGGACGACCCAGGTGGGCTCTGCCTCCCCGGGGGCCACACACGTCTTCTTGGTCAAGTGGCGCCTGCCAGGATGCCCGACAAACTGGACGCCCTTGGGAGCTGAGAGCCTTAAGTCCACCTGCAGAGAATGGTGTGTGCCCTTGGGCCCAGAGCCCGGGCTGCCCGCCCTGCCACCCACTGCACATGCCAGCTTCCAGCCTCTCCTGGAGCTCTGCCCCCCACACACCCCTTCCGCTTCTGATCAAAACAAACTCCCCATGCCATCTGGCTACCCAGCCCCAGCCTCGTGCCCGTCACCTTTCTCGGCGCCCCTCCCTCCCCAGCCCTCCACACTCCACAGGTGCAGACCCCCTCAGGACTGACGCTGCTGTCCCCAGGCTGCCCCTCCTGCACAGCCACCCTGGGACTCCAGGCGGAAGCCACTTCTCCCACCACAGGCCCCGCAGCGTGCCTCCCCTGAGCCTCCCCAGCCAGTAAGCTCCACAGTGTCACAGGACAGCTGTGTGCGTGCACGTGTGTGCATATGTGTGCTGTGAGTGCTGGCATACATCTCTCTGTGTGTATATGCAAGCATAGGGTGCCTACACGTGTGCGTGCATGTGTGTACACCTAAGTCTGTGCATTGGGTGAATGCATGTGTGTGCCTGCATATCTATGCATGCACGTGCAAGCTAGTGTTTGTGTGTGCATGTGTGCTCTCAGTGTACAAGTATAGCACGTGTATACATAAATGTGTGCATGTGTACCCTGTGAAGGCATGTGTGCATGGATGCTTGTGCATTGTGTGTGATGCTAGTCTCTGTGTGCATGTGTGTGTATCCTGCACTGTGTGCATAAGTATATGAGCACACATACATGTGTGAGTATATGGATATCCCTGCTCCATGCCCATTTGTCCACTCAGCATACATAAAGAACTTAGCAGGTGCAGGTGCCCTGCTGGAAACTAAAACATCTGAGCAAGACACAAGCACCCCCTAGGCCTCTGAGGTCTGGCCCTGCCAAATCACACACATGGCAAGTGCAGCCTTGAGGGAAGGACATGGGCAGTGTCTAAGACAGCAAGCATCACTGAGTCCTGAATCCTGCCTGGGCAAGCCCAGCCAGCCTGAGTGCCGACAGCTGCCACAGGGAGTACACCAGGAATCCCTGTAGCCCTCTCAAGACAGCATTCTAGAAAGTTCTTCCAGGGAGGAAAGAAGAACTCAACAGACAAGCTCCATGAGCCAAATTCTCTGGGTCCTGGGCAGAACAGCCAGCTGTCCCCATGGAAAGAGTCTGTACCTTGGGGTCAGACACGCAGGCTGGGGTGCTCTTGAAACAGGCACTCATCCATCCCTGAGTGCACCCACTGCCCAGAAGGGCATCCTTCTTCCTGCCAGACAAGCCAGCCACCAGCGTGTGCTCGGAGCTGACACGGGGATCTGCCCGCAAGTTTCAGGAGAGTCTCTGGTGGCCACCCTACAGGCCAGGGACTGAGCTTGTGCCTGTTCTTTTTTTCTTTGAGATAATGTCTCACTCTGTTGCCTGGGCTGGAGTATAGTGGCACGATCATAGCTCACCCCGGCCTCAACCTCCTGAGCTCAACCAATTCTCCTGTCTCAGCCTCCTGCGTAGCTGGGACTACAGGTACCACCATACCTGGCTTTTTTTTTTTTTTTAAATCAGGGTTTCAGTCTGTTGCCCTGGCTGGAATGCAGTGGCATGATCATGGCTCACCGCAGCCTACACCTCCTGGGCTCCGGTGGTCCTTCTGCCTCAGCCGCCTGAGTAGCTTGGACTTCAGGCACCACCACTCCCAGCTAATTTTTAAAATTTTTTTTGTAGATATGAAGCCTCACTATGTTGTCCAGGCTGGCCTCGAACTCCCAGGCTTGAGCAGTCCTCCCACCTCGGCCTCCCCAAAGTGCTGGGGTTGCAGGTGTGATCCCTGTGCCCGTCTGTCCCCCGCATATTCTTTCTTTCTGAAGCTGAGAGCCTACTCCTCTCAGTCAGAATCTACGTCAAAAGAATGGCAAAGACGGATGGGTCGGGAAGGCAAGGCGGGAGCTGGGGCCACTACCTGCCCCTCTGAGTCTAACGTCCTGTCTTCATGCTTCTCTGAAGCCCCCACATGGCCACTGCCTCGGTTCCTTCCTGCCCCCCAGCTCTTGCCCAGAGGCCTGCAAGAGCCGCCAGCCTCTTTCTGCCCCTTCCCTGCCTCCCACCTCCCCCGCCAGACCCCAGAGTTCGGCTGGGCTGTATCACATGTAGCACCTGGGACAAGCCAAGTGGCCTCCCGCTTCTGTCACGGTTGCGTGCTGTTCCCTTCTCACGGACGCCCTTCCAGCCCCTGTGCCTGACTTGAGCAGCGCCCGCAGACTCTTAAGTTCAGGGAGCTGCCCTGTTCTGTGCTCCTCTGGCTCCCGCAGACACGGCCTCTAACACAGCTCCCCACTCATTCCCTGGGGCCCTCAGATGGGTGAGGACGTCTCTGCGCTTCCCATCGGCCAGCGATCCCCTCGCAGCCCCTCCTTCCTCAGCCCACAAGGGAGCCTGGTTGATGGTTAGGGCAAGACGGTCAGCCCAGCAGGTCATAAGGGCTTGGGCCCCAGAAACTGAGTTAGTGATCCTGAGCGCCAAACACCTGGCCCCAAAATGGCTCTGGTAGACCCTGCACCATTCTGGGCAGTGCAGTCTCCTGTGGTTTCTGTTCTTTTCAGCTGAAATTTTCTCTTCCATTTCTTGTCCAGGGGACAAGAAGCCCTAGGAGACCACATATACCATGAGTCTCTTCTACAGAGCAAAACAGACACAGTCGTCAAACATGCACACCAGTGCCAGACGCGTCCTGCAGAAAGGAGACGGCGAGGCCAGATTTCCTTTCCGGCATCGAGACTGGACATGGGTCGGTGGTGTGTCCCCAGATGGACATCAGCACTAGGCAGAAGAGTGGAGCTTGCAAAGGAAACACACAGTCAAGTGTGTCTGTTGAGTTCTTCTTTCCCCCCGGAAGAACTTTCTAGAATGCTCTCTTGAGAGGGCTGCAGGGACTCCTGGTGTGCTCCCTGTGGCAGCTGTTGGCCCTCAGGCTGGCTGGGCCTTGCCCAGGCAGGATTCAGGACTCAGTGATGCTTGCTGTCTTAGACACTGCCCATGTCCTTCCCTCCAGGCCTTCGTGCAAGCTGGAAGTCACCCTCAGACGCAGCAATCTCCCACTCCGGGCCAGGCCCCCGGGGCCCCTCACAGCCTCTCTCCCTCCTGCCCCAGGGCCAGGTTGAGTGCCCACGCTCAGTTGGCAGATGAGGAAACTGAGGCAAACGGTGTCAGTGCACGAAAACACCAAGCTAAGCAAATCTCAAGGGGTCTCCTGGGGGCCTAAAACCACAGCACTGGCTTCACCCCGCTGCCACTCAGGACTCCCACCCACCCTGGCAGCCTTGGGTGCCCTTTGGGTTGCAGATTCCAGCCACTCCCTGTGTCCTCATTCTTTCAGAAAAAGCCAGAAATCTGATTTGGGGGGCAGAATCTCTGGGCTTCCAACAGCACCTCTGTAAGCAGAAACGGGGATTCTGAGTGCTCACTCTGCTGACCGCCAGGATTTCCTGGCGCTGTGCCAGCGGTCTATGACTTAAGGTCTGAAAGCCTGGCCCACCACCTGTTTCTGAGGGGCCCTCAAGCTGAGAATGACTTTCATCCACTTTAAACAGTTGTTGGGGGAAAAAATTAAATGAAGAATATCATCTGGTGATACAGGAACATTTAAGAAGTCAGATTTGGCCGGGCGCCGTGGCTCACACTTGTCATCTCAGCACTTTGCGGGGGCAGAGGCAAGAGGATTGTCTGAGCCCAGGGGTCCGAGAACAGCCTGGGCAACTTGGTGAGACCTCATCTCTACAGTAAATAAAAAACTCAGCCAGGTGCGGTGGTACGTGCCTGTGGTTCCAGCTACTTGGAAGGCTGAGACTGAAGAATTGCCTGGGCCCAAGCAAGCTGAGGCTGGGATAGCTGGCCACTGCACTCCAGCCTGGGCAACAGTGAGGGGAAAAAAAGAAGCCAGATTTCAGTGTCAAGAGGCCCAGTCATATTGGAACACATCCTCGGCCATTCAGGCACAAATCCTACAACGACTGAGCCGAGAAGCTGCGGCAGGGGTTGCATGGCCCCGTCAAAAACAGAGTTACTTTGGGCCCTTTTCAAGAAAAGCCTCACACCCTCACAGGTGGTACTAGTCCCCCAGGGCCCTGCTAGGCAGGAGTCCCAACACATCAGCCCCTCCCCTTCACATGCTTCCCAAGTCTGCAACCCTGCCCAGCTAGGGAGTCAGAGGCCGACCACGTCCCACCCTGTCTCCCTGGCAGCCCCTCGACTCCCCACCAGGCTGACCCCACCAGCCCTGCTCCCCATCACAGACGCTCTGCCCCCGGCCACCCAGCCAGCCCCACCCAATTCGCCTCCCCAACTGCACCAGTGTGGGCCCAGCCCCGTGAACAGGGACGGCTGCGTATTCGGGTCGTCGGTACCTCCGTGCAGACATCCATGTAGTTGTGGATGCTGAGTGGGACCTTGACCTGCTCTCCACGGACCACGAGAGGCGGGAGCATGAAGTCCACGAAGAGGGGCTTGAAGGTCTTCAGCAGGGCGGGCTTAGCCACGCCCAGGCCCCGGGAGGTGGACAGGGCCACGGCTTCACCCACCCAGCTGGTGACGGAGTCTGGGACCTGCACACGGAGCGTCTCCTCCCCGGATGGGTCACTGCGGAGAGACGGACAGCTGTGGGCTTTCTCCAGGGCTGGTGGGAACGGAAGTCACACAGCTCAGGGAGGCGCCCAAAGCTTAAAAGCAAGAGAAAGAAGCAGAGAACACCAACCACTCTCAGGGCGACAATGAACACAAGAGCCGGCCAGAACACAGGCTCCGGGAGGCAAGACCCGGCAGTGCACACGCGGCCCAGTATAGGAAGGAAGTCACTAAATTGACCAGTTACTTAGGGTGTCCCCTAAGACAGCTGAGCAAGTTCAGCAAGATGGCTACAATACAGGGCTGGGTTCACTGGCTCACAATTGTAAACCCAACACTTTGGAAGGCTGCAGTGGGAGGACTGCTGGAGGCCAGCAGTTTGAAACCAGATTGGGCAACAAAGCAAGACTCCATCTATAAAAAAAAAAAAAAAAAAGAATTTTTTTTTTAAAGGCAGGTGTGGTGGCACATGCCTGTAGTCCTAGCTACTCCAGCATCTGAGGTGGGATCACCTGAGCCCAGGAGGTAGAGGCTGCAGTGAATTGTGATTGTGTTCCTGCACTCCAGCCTGGGGACAGAGCAAGCCCCTATCTCTAAAAAAATAAATAAAATAGTCTGGGCATGGTGGCTCAAGCCTGTAATCCCAGTACTTTGGGAGACCAAGGTGAGGGAATTGCCTGAGCCCACAGGTTTGAGAATAGCCTGGACAACTTGGCAAGACCTCATCTCTACAGTTAAAAAAAAATTAGCCGGGCATGGTAGCGCGCACCTGTATTTCCAGCTACTTGGAAGGCTGAGGCAGAAGGATCGCCTGAGCCCACTGAGTCAACGCTTCTTTGTGTGATTTGGCTTTTGCAATGCACCCCAGCCTGGGCGATGGAGGGAGACTCCAACTCAAAAATAAATAGATAAATTAATTAATTAAATAAAATGCAGAGAATTCTTGTTACTTATGGTAGTTATAGTCCATGAAGTTGCCTCGAACTCTGAATTGGCAAACACTGGGCTGTCCTCATAGGGGAAACACGGGCTTAGGGTCCTGTGGGCCTCTGGTCACATTTTTGTCCACGGAGTAGTATCTAGACTAGTTTTGTGTGTTGTTTAAAGACAGCCATTTTTTTCTTTTTTTCTCTCTTTTTGAAATTTTTTTTTTGAAATTTTTTTTTAATCTTAAAATTTTGTATTGAGATAAAACACACATATATAATTTACCATGCTTCCTATTTTTAAATGTACAGGTCAGCGGTAATAAATACACATATATATGATCTTCCCTTCATCTCCCCTCCTTCCTCCCTTCCCGACTTCTGGTGACCACCGACCTTGGCCTCCATGAGCTCCCCTTTTTAGCTGCCACATAGGAGTGAGCACATACAACATTTGTCTTTCTGTGCCTGGCTATTTCGCTTCACGTAGTGACCTCCAGTTCCATCCATGTTGCCGCAAATAACGGGATTTCATTCTTTTTTATGATTGAATAGTCTTCCATGGTGAAAAGAACCCACATTTTCTTTCTCCATTCACCTGCTGATGGATACTGAGGCTGATCCCATATCTTGGCTACTGTGACTAGTGCTGCAGTGAACACGGGAGTGTACATATCTCTTTGACATACTGACAGCCTCTCTTCTGGACAAATACCCGGCAGTAGGATTGCCAGACCAACTGGAAGTTCTATCTTCAGTTTCTGAGCTGCCTCCATGCTACCCGCCACAGTGGCTATTCCCACTTACATCCCCGCCCACAGAACACATTGTACTTAGCACCTACAGTGGATTCATTCCCACTGAGTTCACTGGCCAACAGTGTGAGGGCGCACACCTGAATGAAGTTATCCAACATGTCTATTTTCTCCCTGAGACACGACACAGCCCTCTTGAACTTGAACACGAGACAGCGCTCCAGCACTTTGTGGGTGGGGGGCATTGCAAAAGCCAAATCACACAAAGAAGCATCCACATGTGGAAAACAAGATAGTACATGGGCCTCAAAAAGGACAGGAAGGGAGAGGGCTGTCTTTTCTCAGTCTCAGCAAGGATCACATACTCTGGTGATTGCTCCTGTTGAAATCGGATCCCCCGGTTGGTAGGGGGCCCTGGTGGGAGGCATCTGGGTCACGGGGGTGGACCCCCAGGAGTGGCTTGGTGCCACCCTCAGGTAGTGAGGGGACTCCTCTCCGTTAGCTCCTGCAAGAGCTGGTTGTTCCAAAGAGCCCGGCCCCTCCTCTCTCTCCCGCCTCCTCCCTCACCACGTGATCGTCCCCTTCCACCGTAATTGGGAGCTTCTCAAGGCCCTTGCCAGAAGTGGACGCTGGCACCGTTCTTCTCATACAGCCTGCAGAACCGTGAGCCGAGCAAGCCTCTTTTCTTTACAAATTATCCAGCCTCAGGTGTTCCTTTATGGCAATACAAGATGGGCTAAGATAGTAATTACAATTTTTCACCACACTGTGCATGTCTGTGAATAACTGCAAAAGCACAGTAAGTAGTGGCTTTGGGTTGCAAATACATTTTAGCAAGTAGGCAAACTTGCAAATATGGACTCTGCAGGAGCTGCTGACGAGGCGGATGTCTGTCTGCCTCCTTGAGGGTCACATGTCGCCGCCCTGTGACAGCTCAAGCTCAGTCTCTTCCCATTTGGCAGAACTTTGACAAGATTTGTGACCAAGTGGTCTGGGTATACCAGAGGCTGCCCACTTGCCCCTTGTAGTACACCCATACTCCCTGACTTGACATCCAAGTCCTGCAGGCAAGCCCAACTCCTGGTTAAAAACTCATCTGTGGGCTGGGTACAGTGGCTCATGCCTGTGATCCCAGCACTTTGGAAGACCAAGGTGGGAAGATTACTTGAGACCAGGACTTTGAGACCAGTCTGGGCAACATAGTGAGATCCCATCCCTACTTAAAAAAAAAACCATCTGTGGTTTTACAAGCCTGATCACAGTACCTTGGACAGAGATTCTCTCCAGGTGCCTTATCGGAAGGGAAGAGGGAGAAGCCTTGAAGATGCACTTTTCCCCAATCTGACTTAATAGACTGAGACTTTGCCATTGCTAGCTTTCCTCTCTCCCTTTCTGAATACACCATAATAGCAAGGAGATGGAATCAGTAATCAGAAACTACCACCAACAACACAAAAACCACTGGACCTGGTGGCTTCCCTGCTGAATTCTACAAAACACTTAAAACTAACACCAATGCTTCTCAAATTTTTACAAAACCTTGGAGAGGCGAGAACACGTCCTAATTTATTCTATGAGGCCAGCATTACCCTGATAGTAAAGGCAGACAAAAACACAAGGAGTACAAAAACTATCAATCAATATCCCTTATGAACATTGATGCAAAATCCTCAACAAAACTCTAGGAAACTGAATTCCACAGCATATTAAAAAGAGTACACACTATGACCAAGTGGGATCTATTCCTGGAATGCAAGGATGGCTCAGCATATAAAATCAATCAGTGGTATGCACCATAGCAGCAGAATAAAGGACACAAACTACATGACTATTTTAATAGATGCAGAAAAAGCTTTTGAAAAATTCAATATCTCTCGTGATTAAAAAACACTTAACAAACTAGGAATAGAAGAAAATTACTGTGACATGATAAAAACCATATAAAAAGCCCACAGCAAACATTGTACTAAATAGTGAAGGACTCAATGCTTTCCAGTAAGATAAAAGCAAGACAAGAATGCCCAATCTTGCCATTTCTATTCAACATAGTACTGGAAGTTCTTGCCAGAGCAATTAGACAAGAAAAAGAAATAAAAGCCATCCAAATTAAAAAGGAAGAAGTAAAATTATCTCTGTTCACAGAAGATACCATCATACACAAACAACTCCTGCTGTCAACTTTACCCAAAGTGATCTACAGATTCAACACAACCCCTGTGTTGTTTGCAGAAACACAAAAACCCACCTTGAGATAAAATATGGCCTTTCAAGGGACTCTGGTAGCCAACAAAAAGAAACCAGAAGAGTAAAACCAGAGAACTCATACTTCAAAAATTTACCACAAATGACAGTAATCAAAACAGTGTGATACCAGGCATAAAAACAGACATATAGATAAGCAGAATAAAATACAGGGCCCAGGAATAAGTCCTCACAAATATGATCAACTAATTTTCAACAAAGGTGTCCAGATCATTCAGGAAAGGATGGTGTTTTCAACAGCTAGTGCTGGAAAAACTAGATCTCTGCATTCAACAGGGTGAAACTGGATCCTTACCTAACACCATATACAAAATGAGCTCAAAATGAATATATGACCTAAGTAAAAACAAAAACTATGAAACTCTTGAAGAAAACATAGGACAGAAACTTCATCACATTGGATTTGGCAATGATTTCTTGGCTATAAAGCTAAAGGCATAGACAACAAAAATGAAACAAATAGGACTTTGCAAACATTTTAAAAATTTTGTGCTTCAAAAAAAAACCAACACTTATCAACAGAGTTAAAAGACAACCTAGAAAATATTTGCAAATCAGCTCTATTCACAATAGCAAAAACATGGAACCAACCATGTTGCCCATCAAAGCTGGACTAGATAAAAAAAAGTGCAGCCATAAAGGACAAACATATGGACTTTGCAGCAACTTAGATGGATTTAGAGTCGATCATACTTGGTGAGCTATCACAGAAACAAAGAACACAGTACCATATGTTCTCACTCATAAGCGGACCTTGTATAATTATCAAAATACTATAAGAAAGGGATTGGCAATAGTGGGAAACTGTTAGGGGAGGGGGGGTAGGATAGGCATTTGAGGGAAACTGCTAGGGGAAGGAAGGACATACCTCATTAACAAGGGTACCTGCATAATCAATGTTTGCATACCTAACCCTGAATTGTACCCCACATCTTTATAATAAAAAAAGAAAATATTTGCAAATCATATATCTGATAAGGGGTTAATATCCAGACTTTATAGACAACTGCTAAAATTCAACAATAAAAAACAACACCTCAGCCGGGCTCGGTGGCTCGGCCTGTAATCCCACGCTTTGGGAGGCTGAGGTGAGTGGATTGCCTGAGCCCACGGGTTCGAGACCCACTGGGCAACTTGGCGAGACCTCATCTCTACAATAAATAAAAATGAGCCAGGCGTGGTAGCGTGCGCCTGTAGTTCCAGCTACTTGGAAGGCTGAGCAGAAGGATCGCTGGAGCCCAGCAGGTTGAGGCTGCGGTGGCTGAGAGCAGCCACTGCACTCCAGTCTGGGCGACTGAGTGAGACTCCAACTCAAAAAACAAAAAACAACAACAACAAAAAAAAACAACACCTCAATTAAAAATGGGCAAAAAGCTGGCCTCAGTGGCTCAGCCTGTAATCCCAGCACTTTGGGAGACCGAGGTGAATGGATTGTTTGAGCCCATGGGTTCAAGACCAGCTTGGGCAACTTGGCAAAACCTCATCTCTACAATAAATTTTTAAAATTTAGTCAGGCGTGGTAGCACATGCCTGTAGTTTCAGCTACTTGGAAGGCTGAGGTGGAAGGATTGCTGGAGCCCAGTAGGTCGATGCTGGAGTGGCCATGAGTGTGCCACTGCACTTTAGCCTGGGCAACAGAGTGAGAGTCTGCCTCAAAAAAAAAAAAAAAAAAAAAAAAAGGGCAAAGGACTTGAATAGACATTTCTCCAAAAAAGATACACAAATGGCCAATAAGCACATGAAAAAAATGCTCAACATTACCAATCATAAGGAAATGCAAATCAAAACTGCCACAAGATAACACCACAAACCCATTACAATAGCTAATATTAAAAAAAAAAAGTGAGCCGGGCTCAGTGGCTCAGCCTGTCATCCCGCGCCTTTGGGAGGCTGAGGTGAGTGGATTGCCTGAGCCCGCGGGTTCGAGACCCGCCTGGGCAGCGAGACCTCATCTCTACAATAAATCAAAAAATTAGCCGGGCGTGGTAGCGTGCGCCTGTAACTCCGGCTACTTGGAAGGCTGAGGTGGAAGGATCGCCGGAGCCCAGCAGGTCGAGGCTTGGCCACCGCACTTCAGTCTGGGCGACAGAGTGAGACTCCAACTCAAAAAAAAAAAGTGTTTGTGAGGATGTGGCAAAATTGGAGCTCTTATGTGCTGTTGGTGGGAATGTAAAATGCTGTAGCTGCTGTGGAGAACTCTGGAAGCTCCTCAAAGAATTGAAACTAGAATGATTATATAACCCACCAACTCTGCTCTAAGGCATACACCCAAAATAACTTATAGAGTATATTATTATACCTGTGTTCTTAGCAGCATTATTCACAACAGGAAAAAAATGTGAAAGCAACCCAGGTGCCCATAATAGAAAATGAATGGATAAACAAAATGAGGCAAATACAATGAGATATTATTCAACTTTAAAAGGAAAGGAATGACCCTCGAGAACATTTTGCTCCGTGAAACAAGTCAGTCACAGAAGGTCAAACACTGCCTGGATGCACTTGTAAGAGGACCCTAGCAGCCAGGCATGGTGGCCCATGCCTGTCACCCCAGCACTTTGGGAGGCGGGGCTGAGAGGATTGCCTGAATCCAGGAATTCGAGACCAGCCCGGGCAACTTGGCGAGATGTCTCTACAACAAATCAAAAATTAGCCAGGTGGGTAGCACGCAGCTCTACTTCCAGCTACTTGGAAGGCTGAGGCAGAAGGATCACCGGACTAGAAAGAACATGTCATGAGTGTCAGAACCCTGGTTGCCCATTCAAGGCGACACTCGTGGCTTCAAAATCACCACCCAGCACCCAGAGAGCAGGTTCATTTGATTGCCTTACAGAACAGAACACGATCAGCTGCATCTGCTCTGACCACGAGTTAAAGCCTCCTGTCATGAGGACTCAGGTATCCACAAAAGCTGCCTGAGGAACCGCCAGTGGTGTGCTCAGGTTAGCCAAGCACTTGCCAAAGCGCCTGTACCTGAAAGGACACAACTCAGCTGGCCTATGTCGACCAAGGGTCAGAATTTTCATGCCAAATTGCTTTGCCAAGGCAGGCCACAGCCATCTTAGTTAGCTTGTTTATTTTAGAGTCGGGGTCTGGCTCTGTCATCCAGGCTGGAGTGCAAGTTCACTGAAGCCTTGACCTCCTGGCCTCAAGTGATCCTCTTGCCTTCAGGTTCCAGCCACCATGCCTGGTCAAGTTTTCTTTTCCTTTTTTGTAGAGTCGGGGTCTTTTTATGAGGCTCAAGTGATCCTCCCACCTTGGTCTTCCGTCCACTGCCACCTTTAACTAGTGCTATTGGTGCACTGAGCACTGAAAGAAAAAAGCTAATTGCACCCAGCAGAAATGCAGTCTTGCTTCAAGGAGAACTAGAGAGACAAACGTGCAGAGAGGACTTGTGCTCAGCAAAGCATCCTGTTTTTTCTTTTTTTTTTTTGTTTTTGTTTTTGTTTTTTTTTTTTTGAGTTGGAGTCTCACTCTGTCGCCCAGACTGGAGTGCAGTGGCCGCTCCCGACCACCACAACCTCGCCTGCTGGGCTCCGGCGATCCTTCCGCCTCAGACTTCCAAGTAGCTGGAATTACAGGCATGCGCTACCACGCTCTGCTGATTTTTTGCTTTATTGTAGAGATGAGGTCTCGCTGCCCAGACAGGTCTCGAACCCGCGGGCTCCGGCAATCCACTCACCTCAGCCTCCCAAAGGCGCGGGATTACAGGCTGAGCCACCGAGCCCGGCTCATCCTGTTTTTTCAATCCAGAGCCTTTGTCCCCTGAGGAGCAGTGGGCGGTGGGGGTCAAGGTCAAGGTTCCCGGAAATGTAACCCTTTTAATGAGGTTGTTATGCAAACAGAGCAGACAGTCACCCTGAGAGGGAGCTGTGAGGGCCAGAGCCCTCACAGGAGCCCTCACATGTCGCAGTTCACAGGCAGATGTCCAAGGCCGCAGCAGGACAAGGCTGGCTTGGAGTTTCATGTGTTGGAAAGAGATGCCCAGTGTCTTACCCAGATGGGTATCAGCACTGCCCACCAGGGGCTCTATGGACTTATACAAGTGCCTCTGAGTCAACCCCTGAGACATCACAGAAAAAGAATCTCACTATACCTGATATTTAGACAACGCCAAATCCAGGTTTCAGGGAAGAAAGTCCTTATTCTCCTCTCTGCTCTATGAAAATAAAAGAGACATGATTTGAGTTTCATGGACACAAAAAAGCTTTTCCGTGGCAGGATGGCATTCCACCTGATTAGATATCATGTGCCAATTCTTCTACCTGGCAGGGTTAACTTTCTACTTGATTAGGGCATAACTTAACCCGGAAAGGTTCATTCTTAGCCCGGAAAGGTTAACAGTTTGCTTGATAAGGACTTAACTTGTTCATTCTCTTACCTGGCAGGGTTAATATTCTACTTGATTAAGACATAATTTATAAATTCTTTATCAAGTCTACTTGATGAAACATAATTTTTTAATTCTCTTATCTGGCACAGTTGACATTCTTCTTGATTAGGACATAACTTGTTAATTCTCTTACCTGGCAGAGTTAACAGACTACTTGATTAAGACATAACTTATTAACACTCCTACTTGGCAGCATTAACATTCTACTTGAATAGGACATAACTTGTTAATTCTTTACCTGGCAGGGTTAACATTCTACTTGATTAGAACATAACTTATAACATTTTTTTTTTTTTGAGTTGGAGTCTCACTCTGTTGCCCAGGCTGGAGTGCAGTAGCACGCTCATGGCCACCACAGCCTCGAACTGCTGGGCTCCGGCGATCCTTCCGCCTCAGCCTTCCAAGTAGCTGGAACTACAGGCATGTGCTACCATGCCTGGCTAATTTTTGTTTGTTTGTTGTAGAGATGAGGTCTCACCAAGTTGCCCAGGCTGGTCTTGAACCCCTAAACTTAGGCCATCCTCTCACCTCAGCCTCCCAAAGTGCTAGGATTACAGGATTGAGCCACCACGCCTGGCTTAAGTTCTTTATCTGGAAAGGTTACAGTCTACTTGATGAAACATAATTTTCTAATTCTCTTACCTGGCATGGTTAGTATTCTTCTGGATCGGGACATAACTTGTTAATTCTCTTACCTGGCAGAGTTAACTGTCTACTTGATGAAGATATGACTTGTTAACGCTCCCACTTGGCCACATTAAGAGTCTGCTTGATTAGGACATAGCCTGCTAATTCTTTCACTTGTGAGGGCTAATAATCTATTTAATTAGGAATAGCTTAAGTGAGGCATTGAAGGCTTGGCAGAGGCCCCCATGCGGCAGCAGCTGCGCCTCAGCTCCTGCATGCAGAGGGCAGGAAGGGAGGCAGGGACCACCCCATGTCCTCACTCAGCTGCTAATTCCTTCCCTGGGTCTGCTGCCTTTGTTGCCACCATCACACTGGGGCTCCGCCTCCCCTCACCCACTTCCTTAGGGCACCTTCATCCAGTCTTATTTGAGCTAGAAGCCTCGCAGCCCACCTTCCTGAGACTACCCTTTCCTCAAGACAAACTCCAAAGTGGGGGGAAACACCACTAAGACCCTCTCCAATTTTGACAAAATGAAAAGTGCTCACATCCTTTCAACCTGCAAGCCCTCTCCTAGAAACGCACCCCGGAAATACCCAGAGACACATGTGCAAAGACGGACACAGAGTGGCTCGTGGTAGCCTCATGAAAATTAGCAAACTGCCAGGTTCTCCATCAGAAGGGGACCGGCTCACCAAAGGATCGTAGATCCATCGGTGGACTGTTATATATGAAAAAGAGCGAGGTAAGTATGCATGCACAGATAGCATGCAAGATGTATGGCTAACTTAAGGAAGTGCATGGAATGGTGTTCTGGTGTTTGTCTGTTCGTGGTTTTTTAATCCTTATATGCACAGAAGGATAAGCAAAAAATTATTCAGCTTGATTCTTCTGAAGAAGGAACACAGGGCCTGGAGGTGGGAGAGAGACTGAAATTTCATTATATATCATTCCATACTGTTTGAAAAAATTGTTAACCACGTTCATATAGTTTTTAAAAATACCTTGTCCTCAGAATAAGGATGTGTTTTCCAGTTGTGAAAAGGCCTTGCTTTTGAAAGTGTGTCTGTCTTATGCCTTTCTGCATTGGGATTTACAACTGCTGTTGTGATTTTGGGTTTCAGAAAGCTGTTCCTGCACCCCCTCTGTGCCAGGCTCTTGGGGTCCTGTATGTGAGTGGGTCGGGCCCTGGGGTGGCTTCTGGAGGCCCAGGGCCAGTATCCCCCTTCCCTCCCCACCCCCCACATCCTGGAGATGCTTCCCCATGTGTCCAAACAATAGTCAAAAGCCTGGTCTGCCAATGCCCCGACTTGAAGTTTGGAAACTAAGACTTCTGCAGGCCTGCCACACTCCTGCTAAATGTGTGGCCCCAGCAGGAAGAACCTGGGAGACTGAGGTGCCCAGGAACATGAGGGAGTGTTCAGGAAGGTTCCCAATCTGTGCAGCAAGGGCTTGAAAGACAGACAGCACTTCCGTAGGCAAGCCTATCAAGGCAGGCCACCAGGTCGGGAGGTCCCCTGGGCCACCTCCGGCTCAGAGCAAGGGATGAGAGCAGCCTGAGGCCCACCCTCGAGGACTCTGTAGGTCCAGGTGTTGATGCTGTGGACCACACTGAGCACATGCCCAGTTTCCTTGGCTCTCCCCCTCGGGGAGAGAGCAGCCAAGGCCGACCTCCCCCTGCTCTGGCCTACACACTCCTAAGTCCTCCAGAGAGAGTATGGAGGCAGCATCCTCAGAACACCCTTCCCATGCTGGCTGGCCAAGATCTGGGACTGAGTAGCAAGTGAGAGGGGCAGGTGGAGAGAGAGGCAGGCAGCACAAAGGGAAGGCAGGGCAGAAGGGAACTGAGAAAGAGGGAGACAAAAGCACACGTCACTGCCTGTGAATCAAAGGTTTGCGGGACACCAGGGACAAAGCCACGAACCCAAAGGTAGATCTGAACTCCTCTCTCTGTTACTAATATCGTAAGCAGACCCCAAAATGAACAACATCATCAAGGACTTAAACACCACCACCAACCGGCTTGACCCAAAGCATGCATAGAGAGCCCTTCACCCCACAATAGGGGATTAGACATTCTTTTCAAGTAACACAAAGCAGTTACAAAAATTGGCATGAAGCAGGTCTCCAAAATAAAAACCAGAGACTGGAAAGCATACAGGCCATGTTCATTTGTTTAACATGAATTGACAAAACTCATACAAATAATCATGAAAAAAAAAGCCACCTGAAAATGTAAAACACAAAACACTTCTGGATAAGTCATATCTCAAAGAGAGACTCATTTCACACGTTAGAGCCTATTTGGAACCAAGCAATGCTGGAAATACTTCATAGCACAATGTCAGTGCAGACAAAGCAGTACTCGGAGGAAAATTTATAATCCTCTAAAGACTTAAGCGTTTTTATCTAAAATAAAAGACACTGAAAGGTAATTACATGGTGTCTAATTCAAGAAGGCAGAGAGTTGGAAGAAAGGAAAGAAAGTAGAAGAAGGAAGAGGAGGGAAGGATGAAATCTTGGAGAAAGGACAAAAGGAAGAACTTTCTCAGCAGAGTCCCTGAGAGTGGGACAATCAAGTCCCGGCTTCTCACCCTGCCTGATCCCTCTGTCTTTAGACAGGTCGGCTCCCCTGATGCGCCTGTTCTCTTCTGCATCCCCATCCAATGCCAAGAACTTAGGGGGATGCAAACTGCTCAGTGTTCCAGCCCAGTAGGCCAAAGCCCCCCCCCCCAGGGGATGCTGGACAAGTTCTGGAACAATTTTTGGTTGCCACAGCTGGGGAGGGTGCTACTGGCATCTGGTGGGTGGTGGCCAGGGATGCTGCTCAACCCCGTACAGAGCACAGGATGCCTCACCCCAGAGACAGATCCATCCCTGTGATGGAGTGAATGTTTGTGTCTCCCTCAAAATTCGTATATTGACATCTATTCATGTGATAGCATCAGGAGTGGCTTTTGACAGGTGATGGGGTCGTGAAAGCGGAGCCTCACAATCAGGATGAGTGCCCTTACAAAAAGGATCCCAGGGAGCTCTCACTCCTCCTCCCATGGGAGGACATGGTAAGAATATGCCATCTAGAAAGCAGGAAGCAGGTCCTCATCAGACACCAAAGCTGCCTGCTGGTGCCTTGACCTGGGACTTCCCGGCCACCAGGGCTGTGGCCAATACACATGTGCCATTCCTCAGCCACCTGCTCTATGACATTCTGTTACAGCAGCCAGAAAGGACTAAGACAGGACCCAATGTCACCAGTGCCAAGGTTAGAAAATCTTGCTCGAGGGCCTGGCCTTTACCTGGGGCGGTGCTTGGAAGAGACGGCAGCCACCAGGCTCCCCGTCTGGGGCTGGAAGGCGGGGGCGCCCTCGTCCGTGTACAGGCCCCCATCCTGCCTGTGGTTCAGGCTCACTCGGTCGGTCATCACCACCAGTCCCGTTTCCTAGGCAACAGAAGACACCCCAAGAGCAGAGGGAAGGTGGATGCTGACGTCCAGAGACACATGGGAGGCAATGAGCCTATGGTCGCCAGCCCAGCGCCACTGTCTGGCGGCCTCGGGGAGTTGTTCCTCCAGTCTGGGCTTGGGGGCAGGGGCTGAGGAGCTCAGGGGCCCGGGGCCATCCAGCATGAAGAAGAGGGAAGGGCAGCACATTCGAGCTGAGGAGTAGCATCAGTTGGCCCAAATATAAAAAGTCACACTGGGGTGACACCACTGATAGCAATGTCCAGAGTAGGCAAATCCAGAGACAGGAAGCAGATTCGGGCTGGAGGAGGGCATGGGGAGTGACTGCTGATGGGATGGGACTGCTTTTGGTGTGATAAAAATGTTCAAGAACTAAACAGAGGTGGTGGTTGCATGACACTGTGAACATGCTAAATGCCTCTGGATTGCACTTTAACATGGTGAACTGCAGCTCACGCCTGTAATCCCAACACCTTGGAAGGCTGGGATGATGGCTTGAGGCCAGGAGTTTGAGACCAGCCTGGCCAATAGAGTGAGACTCCATCTCTACAAAAAGTTTAAAAATAGCCGGGCATGGTGGTATGTGCCTGTTGTCCTGGCTACTCAGAGGCTGAGGTGGAAGGATCACCTAAGCCCAGGAGTTCGAGGTTGCAGTGAGCTACAATTGTACCACTGCACTCCAGGTTGGAGACAGAGTGAGACCTTGTCTCCAAAAAAAAAAAATTTTTAAGGTGAATTTGTTGTTAGGTGAATTTCATCTCAATTAAAAAATAAAATCTGTTGGGCCAGTGCCTGTCCCAGACCAAAGGCAACTGTGGGCTGCAGTGACACTCCTCTTATTATCTCCATCTCTGTCCTAATTCCTGGGAGCAAATGGATTTAAGAGGAGACCCACTTCAGCCTGGGCTGATAGGGATTTGTGAATAAGGAATCCACACCCAGTTGCTGAAACTCAAGGCATCACCTCTGACTTATGGAAGCTGGCAGGGCCCAGGTTCAAACTGCTAGGCAGTCAACATATGCATAATTGAAATGTCATTTAAAAAACAAACAAACCAGCCGGGCTCAGTGGCTCAGCCTGTAATCCTGTGTTTTCGGAGGCTGAGGTGAGTGGATTGCCTGAGCCCACGGGTTCGAGACCCGCCTGGGCAATTTGACGAGACCGCATATCTACAATAAATCAAAAAAATTAGCCGGGTGTGGTAGTGCGCACCTGTAGTTCCGACTACTTGGAAGGCTGAGGCGGAAGGATTGCCGGAGCCCAGGAGGTCGAGGCTGCAGTGGCTGGGAACGGCCACTGCACTCCAGTCTGGGCGACAGAGTGAGACTCCAAATCAAAAAAAAAAAACCACACACAAAAAAACATCATTTTTTAAGGCAAATAGAGCAAAATGGGAATTGTGAGAACTAGGTGGTAGGCATGTGGTGTTTGTTATCTAATTCTTTCAACTTTTCTGTATATTTGAAAATTTTCTTTTCTTTCTTTTTTTTTTTGAGTAGAAGTCTCACTCTGTCGTCCAGGCTGGAGTGCAGTGGTATGCTCACAGCCACCACAGCCTCGGCCTCCTGGCTCAGGAGATCCTTCTGCCTCAGCCTTCCAAGTAGTTGGAACTAGAGGCGCGCACCGCCATATCCAGCTAATTTTTTGATTTATTGTAGAGATGAAATCTCACCAAGTTGTCCAGGCTGGTCTTGAACCCCTGGGCTCAGGCAGTCCTCTCGCCTCTGCCTCCCAAAGTGCTGGGATTACAGGCATGAGCCACTGCACCCAGTTTATTTGAAAATTTCATAATGAAAGCAGAGGGCAGGGGTTGGGGAGGAAAGGATGCCTTTGAAATAATCTTTTTTTCAGTAAAGATCTCACTTTGTTGCCTAGGCTGGAGTGCAATGGTGCAATCATAGCTCACTGCAGCCTTGAATTCCTGGCCTCAATTGATCCTCCCCACTTGGCCTCCCAAGTAGCAGGGACCACAGGCACCACCACGCCCAGCTAACTTTGTTTTCTTTTTTCTTAAATAAATGGGGTCTGGCTATGATGGCCAGGCTGGTCTTGAACTCCTGGGCTCCAGCAATCCTCCCACCTCAGTCTCCCAAAGTGCTGGGATTACAGGCTTGAGCCACTGTGCCCAGCCTTTTGAAATGATGTTTTTTTTGTTTGTTTGTTTTTTTGAGTTGGAGTCTCACTCTGTCACCCAGACTGGAGTGCAGTGGCTGCTCCCGGCCACTGCAGCCTCGACTGCTGGGCTCCGGCGATCCTTCCGCCTCAGCCTTCCAAGTAGCTGGAACTATAG